CAACAAATTACAAACAAAGATATTAACAAATAATCCCGTAAATTGCATCAACATATTTTGTTATATTACTTGGCAGGAAATTGTACAATGGCAAAATTTCATGCATACGGGAAAAATGTCAATTTTGCAAGGTATGTTGGCAAGTATAAATGCATTTCTTTAAAAGATGACATATTGGATAGGGCAAAAAATTTGCCTTGCATTCTGCCACCAACAGACCCATAATCATGTAATAACAAAGAATCTTAACCGGTCAGAGAGTGTGAAATTCGTATGCACTGTGTGACGGGGCATCATTTTCCATATTAAGCGGACATGACTGCGTATGATCCGAGCTGACGACCACTTCAGCGAAGGATTTACTTCCTGACGAGAGAGGATCAGGCAGTACAATCTTTATCTACACCGGCAGTCAATTCATTGGGGGTTGAAAGACAAAACGTATATTAGTTCATATACGACAATTGTTACGATAGAAATGTAAAAGTATACTCCTCATGCAGGAAAAAATCATTTTATGGACTCCACCTATAGCACGAGACAAAATGTGTAAATATCATTTAAAGAATTTAGATATGGCGTAGATGTATGAGATTATGAAACAAATATAATGATGAACTATTTCTCCATAAACCAAAGGATAAATATCGTATTCCATAAGAGATTCTTGATGTTCGTTACGTTATATTGAGATTGATATATTTGATGTTTAACGCCACTTTTATTACTCTGTGCGATTCCAGGTCAATTGAGGTCAAAATACAGCCACGAGCAGTCTTGAAAGGATCAGAGTGAACATTGTAGTTGAACTTCTTAAACAACTCGTTCATCTAGGCCCCTATTACGTTACAAAATTCTCTTGAATACTACGAGATTTTGTGTATCTTTGACATTTTCTTTCGAGTTTAATTCGAAAAAATAATTAGAAGATAAAAACAATTTCCAAAAAGTATTCACTTAAGGGAGCTACCATTTGATTTTTATGGGGGGGGGGACTAGGATGAAATTTGAAAAAAATAGGCAGGACAAGAGTTTTGAGTAAAAAAAAAGGCAGGATGAGACACTTTGCAAAAAAAAAAGGCAGGATACATCTTGCTACAAACAGAATACCGTTTCCATTCTCAATTTTATATTAAATAAATACAAGAGTGTCACGATTTCCCGACGGTTACAACATGAATAAACTGCTTCGCTGAGCGCAGCTGGATACGCCCGCAGAGGTCCAACCCTGAACAGTTGGGGCAAAAATGGACACAATATTCAAGCTTGATACAGGTTGTAATTAAATATTTGACATATTATAGGTTTCTGAAAATAAATGTAGTCAAAGAACTTGAAATTGGTTATATGAATTGAATTTATATTTTTATATTCAATTAAAGATTTCTTGCTGTTGTGCAATACACTGTGCTGTTGCGCAATACTTAGTAAATCTGTTGTCAGACTATAAACAATTAAATAACTTCTCAATGTCATATCAGAAATATATGAAAAACTAAAGGGAGGTTATCTTAATAGATATAAACCAGGGGCCTGTTTATCGAAACTGTCCTAAGATCGGTCCTAAGAATTTCTTAGGACAGAAATTAGGATAAAGTTAGGACCGACTTACGACATGTCTCAGCATTCACATCGAAGCTATCTTAGGATTATCTTAGCTAGGATGTCTTAACCACTGTCCTAAGTATTGGCGTTAAAGAAAATAACAAATTAAAAATGAAAAAATGAAGATATTGTATCAAATTTAACCAATAACTATAATTTAAAAAAAAAGATAAATAATTTTAAAAATAATTATTAGTTTTAAATTTAAGGTGATAAATACTTTTTATATTATAATTGTACATTTAAACTCATAAAACAAAACATAAAACAAAAAATATAACTACGTTTTATATAAGAATTGAAACAAACGAATTGAAAATAGTTGAAATAAAATATATAATCGGTAAAATCATTATATGCTTTGATCAGCTGAATTCGAAGTGTCACGGTTTCATACTTAAAAGTTCAAAGGCAAATCTCGTGCATCTTTCATATAAATACCGAGTACTTCAACTATTTTATTACTGCAAATAACATGCGATGATACGGGTGAATATAAGAGACGAAATCCGAATTCTACCGATGCAAAACCACAGACTCTCCTGGACGACGTGGACAAGAGTAACACTTTGCTTTTTGGTAAATTGTCAAATGTTGCAACAAATGGTGCTGAAAAGAGGGATAGGGATTTAATATGCATGAGGGGAACTGCCATTTGATTTTTATGGGGGGGGGGGGGGGGGGGGGGGACTAGGTTTAAATTTGAAAAAAAGGCAGGACAGGAGTTTGGAGCCAAAAAAAAGCAAGATGACAATTTATGTAAAAAAAAGTCAGGATAAACTAATAAGATAAAGGCAGGACAGGAGTTTGGAAGTAAAAAAAAATGCAGGATGAGGAACTTTGCCAAAAAAAAGCAGGATGACAATTTACATGTATGTAAAAAAAAGTCAGGTTAAACTAATAAAAAAAAAGGCAGGACCTAATAGAGTGAAAAATAAAAAGGAAGGACAGAGATTACAACAACAAAAAAAGCAGAACAACATTTTTCATCCTAGGCACCCCCCGTCATAAAAATCAAATGGTACATGTAGTTCCCTAAATTAAATGCAATCAATACAGGCCATATTTGTTTATAAAACAACCATCCTAAATATATCCTAAAGTTAGGACCATCCTAAGACCATCTTAAGACACCTTAATTGGTATCCTAAAGTTAGGACAATTCCTAGGATTTTCCTAAGTTACGACATGTTTGATAAACCCACTTAGGATTAAGATATGTCCTAAGATGGTCTTAGGACACGTCCTAATCCTAAGACTGCTTCGATAAACAGGCCCCAGGGTGGTGTTCTCAAAAGTATCCTAAGATTCGTCCTAAGTCATAGATAAGACCAATTTTAGGATGGACTTAGGATTATCTTAGGACACTCTTAAGTTGTGTCTCGAAGGATTATCTTAGGACACTCTTAAGTTGTGTCTCGAAGCTATCTCAGATGTATCTTATATTAGGACGTCCTAAACATATCCTATGTGCGAAATTTTAAATAGTTAAAGTAATTGTTTGATAAAACATTTATTAAAGACGAAACCAATCAATAAAATTGTTTACGAAATTTTAAAATTACATGTATTTAATTAAATGCATGATTTCAAATGTAATTATAAAATAATATCAAAAAGGATTGTGATTTAAACTGGTAAACAATTTGTTTTGAAATGAAAATATTGAATTTGTAGTGTCATCGTATCGTAAAACACGAAGTTCAAAGTTTAAAATCATGCACAAATTCTTTAAACGAGTTAATAACCGATGGTGCGTTTCATTTCATGTTCATCTTCACGTAAAAAATTGAGAAAAAAGAATGCACAAAGTTAGGATGAAGATATGATGATCTTAAGACACCTAATTAAGTGTCCTAAAGTTAGGACGAAAAATGTGATATATCCTAAGTTAAGAGAGGTTTTTTTTACAGAATTATTGCACTTTGACATCTTTTTGGAGTTTTGTGACAATAACACCTTGTTCTCTGAGACCATTTGACAGAAAGCTCTCATACAAACTTGGTACATTAACTTTTGTTCCCCATCATGTGTAGTTGACCTTATTATACCACCATTTTGATTTAACCATTCTACAGGTGTTGTGGTATATTTTCCATTTTTATGCCCCACCTAGGGGCATTATGTTATTCGGTCTGTGCGTCCGTTCTTCTGTCAGTCCGTCTATCCTGCTTCAGGTTAAAGTTTTTGGTCAAGGTGATTTTTGATGAAATTGAAGTCCAATCAACTTGAAACTTAGTACACATGTTCCCTATGATATGATCTTTCGAATTTTAATGCCAAATTAGAGTTTTGACCCCAATTTCACAGTCCACTGAACATAGAAAATGATAGTGCGAGTGGGGCATCCGTGTACTATGGACACATTCTTGTTTTTTAACTATTGTAACACAATGACATTTTGTGCACAATTCCTGTGAGACCCTTGGACAGAAAGCTCTCATACCTGCTAGGATTGTCTGCAATCATGTGTTGTTGACTATATTGTACATGTTGTATGGCCAGTTTGATTTGACAACTATCCTACAGCAAATGCACCTTGTTAACACAACTCCTCTGAGACCCTTTGACAGAAAGCTCTCATACTTGGTAGGATTGTTTGCAATCATATATATGAACTATGTGTAATTGACCATATTGTACAGTCATTATGATCCCACCATTTTTATGACAAAATTGGGACTTTGGCTATTTTTTTCTACTATTGTACCACAATGACACCTTGTTTTGCATTGTAACATATTTTCTCCTTCAGAAAACAGAAGAGTCATAGTGCAGGAATATAAGGGCATAGGGGGTGCACAAACAGGAAATAGATGAGCTGCACCTTTCTATTTTCAGTTAACAAGGACAATGACACTTGAGAGAAAGTGTTTTTTTTTAAATTCAATACACAGTGTTATCAAGTGTGACCCTAATATTACATGAGCATGAATGATGTTCACTTTATGACCATCTGGGGTAATCTTGTTGTTTGATTACTGTCTCCTAGACAGTTATTCCAAATTTCATTTTATTTTCATCTTACAAGCAATTATAGAAATCAGATCGATAAAATGATCACTGTGGAAGACTTTTGGTTGATTCCTGTTTGGCACAAGACAAGTTAATTGTCTAAAATTTTTGAATAAATCTAAAGTAAAGCCTGTAGTTTCATTTGGGTGGATTGCTGTCTCATTCATTTAAACCCTATAAATCCTTCATTCATAAATAAAATCACAGGTTGCAACGAATGATCTCGTAGAATATGACCATGTAGGGGAAAAAATCTCAAAACTACAAATGACTATACTTGCAAATACTAGATGTCTTAACTGGAAAAGTTCTTTTTTTTTTTGGGGGGGGGGGGGATTTTTTTTTGCTTTCTGGCCATTGATAATTTTGAAATTAACAAGCTCGTAATTATCTACTTTATTTCTACTACAATTAGAATGGCAGTACTCTTTCTCAAGTAAAACATATTTTATTAATGAATAAATATGAATACACAATACAATACCTAAACCATTAAAAAATAACATAATGCATCTCTATTGATTTGTGGATGTGTTTTGTACCATTTGGATGAGCTTGTGGAATAAATACTGACATTATGAAAAGTCTGCCAATTGTTTGTTGATGATTTCTAACAAATCATGATTGTTGTACGTATTTCTATTAAAATGTGTTATTGAATTAGAAACTTTAAGGATGTTCGCTTCTCTTGTTTTTGACTTTTTTGTCAGATATTCGGAATCCTGTAGTTTTATCCATGTAGTGTCATTCAAAATTTTGTTCGCTAACCCCTACTTTTCTTTTCATAATTTTCATTACATATAGTTTAAAAAGACATTTTTGAAAATATTATAAAATCCTTGTTATTTTTTCATAGTGTTTGAAAGAAAAAAGGTGACAAGGTTAAATGAATGAAAATTCTAGAGAGAATCATTTCCCGCCAATTTTTTATTGCTTATATCTCAAAAACAAGGACGCAGACCTTTCATTTTTTTCTACTTTTTGGTTCCGTTATTAAGTTACAATTTTTAGCAATCTGTAAGTATTTCCTTGCTGTGATTGTATCACCCATCATCTGAAAACTAATACAAAGGTAGAACGTTGAATGAATTATAGACAGGACTGAGTCCACATCTAATTTATTTTTAGTAGCAATATCATAATATATATCAAATATTGTCTGTAAGGATTGTGTACATGATGCAGTGGCATGTAGATGGTAGTTAAACACAGAAAACTAAGGAAATGTGCAAATGGTAAGGTAGGGATAGTATCGGCTTTCTCAATTAGTTTTACTTCTGGTGGAATGAATGACCTTTTGCTACCCAAAGAAATATAATTGAGTTTTAGGGTTTTTAATAGCATTGGATTTTTTTCTTTTTTCAGTAAAGTCCGCACAGAGTCCTTGTTCTGAATTAAACTAATTGACAGAATGTGTTGAAAAATTTCTTCATCTTGATGTTTCTTTAAAGCATGATTAATAATGAATATTGATGTATAGTAAGTACTGTTTATGGACATAAAAGAACGACACTAACATCAGCCATCCAGGTATTGTTGTTGAAGATATCAAAAGTTTACCAAGGTTGTTTTTGTACTTATAGTACTGGTGTTTGTTGTTTGATCGTTGTTGAAAATTTGAATCCTGTAATTCGAACTGATGATGTGCTTGTGATAGAAAAATAGTAAAAATTCTTCTTGCTAAATCTGTCTTACAACAATGTAGCATATTGTATAGCAAATGTTTGGGTGTTTTATCAGTTGAAGATATAAGGGCCAGTATATCTGCCTTGACTGAAGTTTGGTTTGTGAATGGGACAGGAATTTCACAATTTAGGCTTGTAAAATCATTCAAAGTCTCTGAATTTACATAACAGTTAATTCCTTGTTGGTATAAATTCTTAAGGGTGTTAGTCATTTTGTGTTTAAGGTCAATATTAAATCTCATATAAAATAAGTTATTGTCGGGAATGAAATAATGTAATAATGTTGAATATTCTACACAGTATATTAGTCTCTTTAAACAAGTCATGAAACATGGTATGATATTGTCCGGTTTCCAAATGGATGGGTCAGATTCTTCTGAAATCCAAAATACCAAGGTCTTTAGGAAATAAGAACACAATAAACCTTTCAAATCTTCATGATTGTCCACAATTTCTTTCAGGAAGATTTTTAATAAAGCATAACATAAAAGCTGAGTATGACTGAAGGAAAATATAAGAAATTTTTCAGCCACTGAAAAGGATATTCTCCATTCAAGATTTTCCTGTAGGGACCCTTTGCATCCAATTGGAACAAATAATACTCCACAGGATGTTATTTTAGTTATGAGTTCTGGTGCAGGCCATGTTGTACGTGGACTGCTGACCCAGGATTGTGCTAGAGATATCCATTTATCGCATTTAAGGCACATTGCATAATCATAGGCACCTTCAGGACTTGATAAACATGGTCCATGAATTGTAGTGACCTTTCCAGGGACAGAAAAAATATTGTTAAAAAAAAAAGATTTATATTGTACATTTGAGAGCTTGTTCACCAGACAATCCTGCTCTAGCATTTGTTCTATTTTTGGATCAAGTAGAATGCGGTCATTGAGAAGATGAAGGGGAAGATGTAGTTGTGTGAAACATGGATGTGTATTCTCTGTATCCATAACCAGAGGAATTCCATCGGTTAGGAAATTAACATCTCTATCTGACTCATAAACTGTAAATGCAGGATAAATAATCATTATATCCAAGTCACTGCCTTTCATGTCTAATCCTTCGCCTTTACTTCCACTAGTAATTTGTTTCATTTTTTTCCGACCAATGTCACCTACTATCAAAGATAATCTCCTAACTTTCACATCCTCCTCCGATCCAATCTTCTGACACAGATACTTATAAAAATGAAGTGATAGACTTTTATCTGTGGACATTTTCACTGATGTCTGTCTTTCTGTAAAATAATCATTTTAATTAGTTTAAATTGTATTTTACATTTTAGAATCAAATACTTTATATTCAGAATTTAAAGTATATAATTATAATTATTGATATTAACTATAATGCAAGATTAATAAATACCATTCCTGTCCATTAGGGATAGCTTTCACAAAAATAAAACTTATTTTAAATTTTGGTAACATTATTTGTATACATCATTACCTGTAATTGTTAAAATCTTGCATTTTTGTCATTTGTTTGACAAATAACATAGTTAAAGATACACACAATTATTTCTTAAGTACAGTATTTGTTCTAGCAAAATTAAAATGTAAGATTTAATAAGAATTACACGGATGAAAATTCCTACCTTTAGATTATCATTGATTTTGGTCCATTTTGTAAAATAACATTATTTTATTAAGTACTTACATTTTATGTAACGTAGATAATTTAATCTGCCAAAAGTCCAACCAACTTGTAGGTAGCCACTTATAGAAATGATAGTTAATTTACAGGGTTAACATATATATACAGAGAGGAAAGTACTAAAAATTTGAAAAATAATTCCCCATATATTTTGAAATATGTACAATCCGTATCAGTTTAGAAAATCTTAAGAGACACAAGTGGAGAGGAGGCCCTGCATAGGGTTTACGAAGTAGTAAATTATGATATGCACAAATATGTATTGGTGTTCTATTATTTCATTTATATAATGCATGGGCCTTTGCCATGAGATTAAGTGTTGAAAAGGGGGGGTGGGGGGTGGTAAAGGATTTTTAATCTTGAAAAATAATCAGTAAAACAAACAACTGTGACTTTGAGATAAAACCAGCAATAAAAGCGCTGTTGCTTTGCTTTTGATATTTGTTGATGTCATGGATGGATACCCCATATCCTTTCTTTTCTATTAGATATAATTTCATGTTGTGAAACAACCCCATCAATATGGAAAAAAACATATATTCTATTTATAAATTCATCAACGATACCAGGCATTTCATATACACAAGACTCATCAGTGGAATGCAAAATCAATAACAAAGTTTAAGAGCATTGAAAACCAAAATTTTCAAATGGTTTGTAAAGTCTGACCCTAAGGCCAAATCTTGGGATTAAAAACCTTAGTATTTTGATTGATTTTAAGGGAGTAATCAACACTTTGACTTAAATAGAATTGGCTCAGTTAATTTTCAAAAATGTTAACAAAATAACAAAATATAAACCTTGACCTGATAATAAAAATGTAAAAATTTCAAGAAATTTGAACCACATTATTTACAGGAATATTTTCATTGGATATATAGCAAGCTTGACAAACACTAATTTTAAACATCAAAAAGCATGATTTCTCTTTTCTAATAGTATGTGATTAAAACATTCAGCTAATTTTTTAAGAGTTTACTCCAGTAGGTTTTCTGTACCCCCTTAAAGTTTTATGAATAGTAATTTTAAAGAAAATGACCATATCAATGATATTTCACGTCAGCAAAGGAATACCTATTGAAAATGTAGCTTTAAGAAATATGATCATTAGATGTACTACGTCTAAATGTATCATATTGACCTTAAACATTTTATTTTACGCTTACTGGTACTTGTTGAGTTAGCATTGAGTATTACAGTGACTTGATTGTAAGTGTTGCTCTCCACCTATTGCAGTTTGTTCAAAATTTCTGACCAAATTGCAGTTTTTTTCATCAAATAAAACTGTTTTTGTTTATCTTTATTATCATCAAATAAAACTGTTGAACTGGTCAGAAATTTTAATCAACTGCTGTAGAAGAATCACAGTCAAGTCATGTGAATGTTGCTAATACAAATTGTAGGGGAGAATAAATCTCAAATAGTAAATTAAGACATAATACTGATTCAAGGAAAGCTAGATCTATATGGTTCATGTGTAAAGTCAAATCCTCTTTCCATGGCAGTTGGATAGTTTTTATGCCCTGCTTACAATAAAAGTGGAGATTATGTTTTCCTTTTTTTTGCATCCATTATTTTGCTAATGTCTCGTTTTGAAACCGTAGGAGGAAAATGTATTTTTGAAGTGTAAAAGTACTTGCTAATGTCTCATTTTGTAACCCTTGCACAAAGCAGTCTACACTTGTGTAGTTAATGTGTTATCAAAATGTTTATAGGACATATGGCACGAAATGCATGATTTTTGTGCACCTGTTTTGTTTTTTGCATTTTTATTGACACAATTTTGCAACTTCACTTTGAAGTGAGTTACAGCCTTAAGGTGGTTCATTGTCTTGTTAGTTACATTAAGATAACTGTTTTGAAAAAAAATCTTCATGACCTTACTAGGCACCAAACCTTAAATATTTTGCAGATCTGTATGTATTTTACAAGAACCTTCCCTGAATGTCTGTAATAGCCCATAGGATTTTTTGCCAGCATGTCATATTAAGGATCAGCTTTTAATAGAATAAAAGAGCACTCATTTTTAGCTCACCTGGCCCGAAGGGCCAAGTGAGCTTTTCTCATCACTTGGCATCCGTCTTCCGTCGTCGTCGTCGTTAACTTTTTACATTTTGAACTTCTTCTAGGGAACCACTGAATGGAATGAAACCAAACATGGCATGAATGTTCCTTATGAGGTGCTGACCAAGTGTTGTTACTTTGTAGCTGATCCATCATTCAAGATGGCCGCCAGCGGGGGACTTAGTTTAACATAGGACCCTATTGGAAATACATACAAATGTCTTCTTTTAGAGAACCCCAGAATGGAATGAAACCAAACATGGCATGAATGTTCCTTATGAGGTGCTGACCAAGTGTTGTTACTTTGAAGCCAATCCATTATCCAAGATGGCCGCCAGCTGGGGACTTAGTTTAACATAGGACCCTATGGGAAATACATACAAATGTCTTCTTTTAGAGAACCCCAGAATGGAATGAAACCAAACATGGCAAGAATGTTCCTTATCAGGTGCTGACCAAGTGTTGTTACTTTGAAGCTGATCCATCATCCAAGATGGCCTCCAGCGGGGGACTTAGTTTAACATAGGACCCTATGGGAAATACATACAAATGTCTTCTTTTAGAGAACCACTGAATGGAATGAAACCAAACATAGCATGAATGTTCCTTATGAGGTGTTGACTAAGTGTTGTTACTTTGAAGGCGATCAATAATCCAAGCTGGCCGCCAGTGGAGGACTTAGTTTAACATAGGACCCTATGGGAAATATTTACAAATGTCTTCTTTTAGAGAACCACTGAATGGAATGAAACCAAACATGGCATGAATGTTCCTTATGAGGTGCTTTCCAAGTGTTACTTCTTTGTTGCCGATCAAGTTCAAGATGGCCACCAGGATTTTTTATTAAATTACAAGACCAATATTAAACCAAATTTGGCCTCACTCATTATTAAGGTATCTGTTATGATTTTAATCTATTTTTACATGATTTCCAAAACCAAAGTAGAATCAGGTGAGCGACACAGGCTCTTGAGAGCCTCTAGTTTATGCTTTACTGTTAACCAACTAATTTTCGCGAGTAGAAAATTAATGTGTATATGTAAAACCTGTATCTTTCCTTATTTAACTACAGCAAGTAAAATTGAAAATCTCGAAATTGATTTGCTGCAAAGTGGGCTGGAAGGGCTAAAGGTGAAATAAAGTATCCGCAAAAATAAGTTGGTTTACAGTATCTTATTAGCTTTGTAGGAGTAAGCAATGGAATTTTGAACTTATAAATGATTTTGAAATTTTATTTTGTATGTTAGATAGAAATAAGAAACAAAATGATTTAGATTTTATCTTCTTTATTTTAGCTTTACAAGATGGAGAGACATGTGTTTTCTGTCTGAGTAATGAGGATAAAGAGGAAGAATATGGAAAATTTATCAAGAAATGTGGACTACAAGTTCATTACTTTTGTATGGTAAGTGTGCATGCTTTTTTTCTGTTCAAAGTATTTGAACATGTTAAGGGCTGTGATACACCAAAACCTAAGAAAAAATTTAAAAGAATTAAAACTGTATTTAACATGTTTAAGGTTCTTGTTAATGTGGATTCATTTATTTTCGTGGTTACCAATTTTTATGGATTTGGGAAAAAAATGTATTTTCTTGGATACTTGATTTTGTGGTTTTTGCAAATTCTGCATACACCCCAATACAAAATATTTATTTCATTGAACACTGAAATTTGTAATTCACCTATACTTATAAAATCCATGAAAAGTAGAATATGTACACCACAAATGATAATCCACAGTATTCTGTTCGAATAAGTAAGAAAGAAGCAACAAAACCTCAACAGAGAAAAAAAATACCTTATCACTTGTTAATTCATGCTATACTCATGATACTGTAAATTCAGAAATTGATGTTTTTGTAAGTGAAAAAAGTGGATTCTGACAAGCATGACAAACATTGCAACAACTAAAACAAGCTTTGGATTTTTACCTAATATTCATCTTCAACATATGTATGAATCATAATAACTGATGTTATATAAGACTGTTTCAAATATTATCATGAGGAGAAAAGGGGGGAGCGTTCAAATTAATTGATTGTGAGTGGTTGCATTTTCTTTAGAATTTTTTTAAGAATATAAACAAAGTGAAACATTTTATATTATGGGTGTTTGTGGTCTAAAGAAAGTGCTGCCCATGTCCACCATGCTTTTAATTCTGGAACAGCCCTTACTGTAGTTTGCCAAAAATTTGCTCATGTCATTGAATTCTTAATTTATAGTACAAGCAACTTAATTTCAACATTAACACAATATTTTGACAGTTATTTGCTAGTGGTTTGTGTCAGAGAGGAAAATCGGAGGAACATGGAATCTATGGATTTTTACCAGAAGACATTATCAAGGAAATAAGAAGAGGATCAAGACTGGTAAATTTTTCTTGGCATTCATACTTTTATACATGAGGGTGTGGATGGAGGTTTACATAATAGAAAATAATGGGCAAAGCATATACAGAAAGGGAAAAATGGACCAAAAAAAATAAAGAATAGAGAATAATGAGGTGCTAAAATATAAAGAATAGAGAATAATGAGGTGCTAAAATATAAAGAATAGAGAATAATGGGCAAATTGTATAAAAGAATAGAGAAAAATGGCCTAAAAATTAAAGAATACAGTCAGAAATGAAGGACCCACCACCCAGACCCTCATGCATCACATTATTGGAATGACCAAGTTGCTAGAGCAAATGTAAAATGTAATCAAAACTGGCAACCTTTTAAAAAAAAAACAAAGTGTAGTAGGTCAATATAAGAGAAGAATATATCAAAGCATGTTGATATCCAATGGTTATGATACTTGTAACTTTGATCATCAAAATAAAAATGTGGAGATGTGGTATGATTGCAAATGAGACACTAGAATACATACCAGAGTTCGAATGAGGTAATGTTAAAATATTGTTTCAATGTCTAAACATACATTTGAAGTTCTTTGCAACAAGTTAGGAATAAGTGAAAATCCATGTATTGAAAAAACATGTTGAAAAGCTCTTTACAGTTATAACTTTAAGTTTCTCTCATCTATATCTTTTTGCAGAATCATGTACAAACATATTTTCTAATGCACTTAAAAATGTGTTAGTGTTCACCTGACATTGCTGTTAATTAATTGTTTTTATTTTTGAATAAGCAATCTAAGGTATACATACAGTACTATGTAGTAAACAGCCACCAGAAACAGGAAATTCTGCAGTATACTGTTAATTCAGAAATTTCTGTGTGCATTTATTATTGCCATTGTTGAAAAATGGACAGAAATTTGAGATTAGTCATAACAAATTCAGAAAAAATGCTGATTACAAATGATGCTATCAAAATTTAAAATCAAATTTTTGCAAAACTTATCTGTCCCAAATTTCACAATAATTAAAACATCGCAAACATTTCTCAATTCAAAACATACAGTTTTCCAGTTAACAGCAAACTCCAATGTAACACATTGACCTTCAATTTGTTATTTTAGTTTTATATCAGATTTGTTACTTTGAAATTATTTTTAGGTTGTTACAGACTAATTTCGGTGGTTTAGTGGTAGCATGTTTGTCTAGAGTTCACTATTCACTTCACTGACTTTAAAATTGGCATTTGCTGCTTTCTTGTCAAGCACTTGGCATTTAGTTGTAAAAACAGAGACTGATACTGGTAGGCTCTTATTCAGTATAATTTATTCCTGTTGGAAAAAATGTTTTCCTATGGACTGTTACCTTGTTAGCTAGCAAAAATCTGACCATGTCAAATATGCATGTTATACAATTAACAGTCCCTTAAAAAAATGTTGAATATTAAATGTAACACTAACTAGCCCAGTGGGAAAGTTATATTTTGATTGCTTAGGCCTGCAGCAATAAATGCTTGCCATGGCCAGTGGCAGAGTATTTTATTTCAAAACCTTTAATTTCTCTTTGAACTGAATAGGACACTTAGTTTATGATTTTTTTACAGAAATGTTACTGTTGTAAAAAGAAAGGTAGTACCATTGGCTGTGTTGTGGGATCTTGTTCTAAGAAATTTCACCTGGGATGTGGCAGGAAAGGTGGAACTCTTCATCAGTTCTTTGGGTCATTCAGGTATTTATTTTTATGTATCATCTATATATTGAATATTTTTGTAAAGAATAATTCCTGGAATTGAAACTTGATGAAAAAGATTGCTAGCATTGTCTATAAAAATGAATAAAAGGAGATGTGGGAATTTGTCTGTGAGGCAACAGCACAGAAACTTAAATTTTTTTAAAAACAAGTTCTAGAGGTCAACATGAGGTTTTCAACAAAAGATGAGTATTTTATATCATATCAAACTCTTCAATTGGCTCAAGCCTGAAGGGGATACAGAACACCTCAGGGAGTTAACTCTTTAAAAATCAGCTGAACTTTTTAAGCACATACTATCCAATGAAATTATTCCTGTAAATAGTGTGGTTCAAATTTCTTGAAATTTTTATATTTTTGTTAACAGGTCAAAGTAAATATTTTGTCAATATTTAACTAAAATTAAACAAACCAAATCTATTTTAGTCAAAGTTTTGGGTACCCTCTTATCATATATTACCAAAAATTTGCTACCAATAATGAAAGACAAACACTTCAGATATAAAAAGGGCATCTAACAAGGTTCCTGACTTTGGTCAAGCACATAAATGCACTTAACCTTCACTTCATCATCTTGAAAAGCACATTTGTTAATATGAAATGCTAATTAATGTAGCAAACATATGTATAACAATGAATATACCTGAGCATGACAGCTAGTTACATGTCTTAGATCTATTGTTTCATTTGGGCTATTCCATTAAAATGAATGTGGAAGGGAAGGAAGGAAAGGTTCAATAATGGTTGTGTCCATTTGATGTATGCAAAATTACTCAAAAAAAATTGTCAGATGTAGGGGGTTTTAGAGGTCCCCTCTCACATCAGTTCTTAATGATTTTGGATGTTCCCTCCCACCCTCAGACATCCATTTAAATGGAATAGCCCTTACTGCTCAATGATTTCCAATTGTTCATTAAGTGTTGGTCAGGTACTTTGTTATTATTTCATTATTTCTGTTTCTACAGAAAGTTAAGTATCATAAAATTTAATTTTATTCAAATGCAATTATTAATTTTATTTTAGGTCATTTTGTCAGGATCATCGTCCACGGCAGATGGTACCAATATCAGACAGATTGGCATTTTATGGTACAGCTAATGCTCTATGTGCTATTTGTATGAATTCGGTAGAAGCTCGGGCATCAAACGAAACGCTGAGAGCTCCTTGCTGTCGTAATTCATGGTTTCACAGATCATGTATACAGGTATGATATTTTATCAAAAATACTCTGCTTAGTTAAAGTCAAGAAATATAATATAATATTATAATTTGTTGATACACAATATAACTAAAATTCATGTAATTTCTCCTTGTTTGGTTTTATTTGAGGATCTGACAACACTGTTCTTTTTTGAAGCCCTTTTAGGGTTCTCATAAATTTTTGTAATGAATCACACCTTAAATAATTTGGAGACAGAAATTTAATTGGTTGGCATAATAATTAGCATACTAGAAAGTAAAACAGAGCATTGTCAGATCTTTGTAAGCAAATTGTGGACACAGGATACATATTTTAATCAGATTCGTTGATACTCATTACTACATTTCAACTTGACATGATGACAAAATGACAACTTAAATTGGTCATCCTGTTGTACAGTTTTTGACTTTGAAGGCAATGTTCCCTATTCTTTGGATTTGTTAACAATGACAATCTAATTTTAATTTTGCATTTAGGAGGGAAAAAAATTTGCATGCTCATTTTTAAAATGTTATTTCCACAGAAACATGCATCCACTGCAGGATTGTATTTCTTCAAGTGTCCTCTATGCAACAACAAAGAAATGTTCCAGAATGAAATGTTAGAATTTGGTATACATATACCTGATCAGTAAGTAAAATGTACATATATATTTATCTGTAAACATTGTAAACAGTTTTTTATTATTAGATTGGTACTTTAAACTATTCAATGAAGTTTTATGAATTAAAGTGGATTCATTTGTTTTTGTCAGTACCATTTTTCGTGACTTGAGGAAAATGTACATTTTCGTGGATATTTGATTTCATGGTTTTTTCCAAAGTCGGCATATAAGTCATTAGAAAATTCGTAATTTGTTGAACATTTAAATTTATGGTTCACCTGTACCCATGAAATCCACGAATGATAATGAATCCACAGTACCCTGTTTAGCCTGAACTGGGTAAAAGACTATAAGAAAATGTGATTTAAATGTTCGACTTCACACAGTATGTTAATCAGTTTTATTGAAGGCAAAGAGTTGGGGAAAAAGCCATCATACTTCTCTTATTTCGCAGAATTTTTTAGATGGTTATATATATATATACATAGTGTATATATGTCATTACAGATGTAATAATTACATTACATATTTTTGGTAAATGAATTTGCTCATTAATTGGACTTAGCTGAACAGTGTCAATATATGTATAAAATTTCATAGAAGAAGTGATTTTGGTTAAAATACCTTTATGACTTTCTAAAATATTGCATGACAAATAAAGAGATATGGTATGATTGTAATTGAGATGACTATCCTCCAGAGATCAAAGGACATGGATGTATATATAGGTCATTGTATGGCCTTCAACAATGAGTAAAACCCATACCATATAATAATCTATGAATAGCCTTGATATGACAAAATGTTAAACAATTTAAACGAGAAAACTAATGGCCTGATTTATGATAAAACAATAAATTAAGGACAGACAGCAACCAACAACAACCATGCTCCTGAGGTGGAGGCTCATACTTGTTTAATATAGTTCATTTGCATTACAGAGATGCTGCATGGGAAACAGAACCAAATGCTTATAATGAGCTAATGGAGAGATACATGCACTGTGATGCTGTGTTATGTAGGTGTCCTAATGGCAGGAAGTACAACAGAGATGGCGGGTAAGGAAGTCTCAGCTCTTTTTGTTTTAACCTTTTTCCAGCTGTTCCCAGTTCACGTATTGCCTTGTTTATATATAAGAATCAAGATCTTTTAAGATTATCATATATGCATATATGCTGTTCTGGGTTCACATATATATTGCTTTGTTGATTTATAAGAATCCAGATCTTTAAAGATTATCATATATGCATTTAATGGGGTACCCAACACTTTGACTAAAATAGATTTGGCTCGTTTAATTTTTCATAAAATTTTGGCAAAGTATTTACTTTGACCTGTTGACAAAAATATAAAAATTTCAAGAAATTTGAACCACACAATTTGCAGGAATAATTTCACTGGATATATAGCAGTTGACAAACACTTATTTTGATAATTGAGAAGCTTGATTTCTCTTTACTAATAGTGTGCGATTAAAACGTCCAGCTGATTTTTAAAGAGTTAACTCCCTTAGGTGACCTGTACCCCCCCTTAATGTGTCCTGCCTGAAAAGAAATTTATATGAATGGTCTTTGCCTATTTCTGATATGAATAAAATGGGAATTTGGCGTTTGAGAACAATCTTTTGGAAACAATATTAAAGAGAATATTTAGCTGAAATGTTTGGAATGGACACGTCAGGAAATTCAACCTTTTTATAAACTTTTTACACATTTAAAGGAAGAAACTGTATGATTTTTTTAATTAAATATATATTTTTTATTTGATTGACCCCTTGAATCTGAAAATAAAAAGGTATTCTAAATCTACCAAATAACATCTTTCAGGTGTTCATAAAACATTAGTCAATCAGTTAACAGTTCATAAGTTTGAATTTTGTCTCACATATTTGCATTAAGGCTTCAAATTTCTTGAATTGAGTGCAAAATTGTGAAATAGTCAAAGTAGCCTCATTTTGAGATCTTGTCATTCATATTTGATTATGAGCAAAAGCTTTTCCCAAAAATATTTTGCTACAAAATGAATTTTATAAACATGTCAATGTGTGTAAAATATCTCTTTGGGTAAAGACTTTGCTCATCTATTGTGTCCAAAAACTGTAAAATTTCCAGTTTTATTCGACTGCAAAAAATTTTGCAGTCTAATATTGGTATCACAGCGTCGTCCGAAGACATTTGGCTTCCGGACAATAACTTTATGTAAATGTAAATAGAAATCTATGAAATTTAAACACAAGGTTTATAACCACAAAAGGAAGGTTGGGATTGATTTTGGGGGTTATAGTCCTAACAGTTTAGGAATTAGGGGCCAAAAAGGGGCCCAAATAAGCATTTTTCTAGTTTCCAGACAAGAATTTGTGGAACGGTGTATGGATCTCTCTGAAATTATACCACAAAGGGATGGTTAGGATTGGCTTCAAAATTTTTTTTTTTTTTGCCAAAAAAAAGGAGGGGGGGGGGGGGGGGGTAGATAATTTTTTTTTTTTTGGGGGGGGGGGGAGTGGGGGGGGGTCAATTCGCAACAGCATAGTGTATTGCACAAAAGCAAAAAAAAGGGGGGTAATTTTTTTTTTGGGGTTCAATTCGCAACAGCATAGTGTATTGCACAAAAGCAAGAAATTGAATATAAATTCAAATCATATAACCAATTCTAAGTTCTTTGACTACAGTTATTCTGTGTCAGAAACCTATTATGTGTCAAATATTTAATTACAATCCAAATTCAGACCTGTATCAAGCGCGAATATTGTGTCCATTTTTGCTCCAACTGTTCAGGGTTGGACCTCTGCGGTCGTAACCAGCTGCGCTCTGCGAAGCAATTTATTAGTTTCTTGGAAGTAAAAGAACTTTTATTGATCACATTAACCATATTTTCAGGTAAACAGAAAGTTTATAAAACAAATTCAGTTATTGTTATATGTAATCCCTTAAGATATATTGCCTGCCCACTCTTTCTGTCATTCAAATTATTTCAAGCTATAAATTACCCATTTCAGAAAATGGGAAATAACAACATGTGATTGGTGTGGTTCTAAAGGGACACATGTAACGTGTCACAGCCTGATTAAGATTGGTCGCAATTTAGTTTGTCAGGAATGTAAAGAAATAGATGATAGATGTAAGTATGATATTATGGATTCATTATCATTCATGGTATACCAATTTTTGTGGATTTTGTGGGTATAGATAGACCACAAATTAAAAGTATTCAACGAAGTACATATTCTTTATAGGCTTATATGCAGACTTCGACAAAACCATGAAATCAGATATCCTCAAATGTACAATTTTTCCTCAATCCTTGAAATATGGTTCCATGAAAATACACATTTTCTTTAGGCTTATATGCAGACTTTGACAAAACCATGAAATCAAATATCCTCAAATGTACAATTTTTCCTCAATCCTTGAAATATGGTTCCATAAAAATAAATGAATCCACAGTACTTAAACTAGGTTCTTGCAGCAATTTGGCAGTTTTAGCACTGATAGGATGTTAAGAAAATAAAAATGAATAAGTTAAATTGGGCAGAATTGAAGGCCTCACAGAAAAATAGTTGCTATATCAACACAAAACCATAAATATAATATTATCTAAGAGACCCAACAAATCACATATTGCTCTTATAAATTCAGAATATAAACAAACTCAACAGATCTATAGATATAAAAATGTGGTATGATTACCAATAAGACCACTATCCACCAGAGTTCATAATGAAGTGGAAATAAGCAATTTTAGGCCACCGTACAGACTAACAATGAGAATAAACCCATATAGTCAGCTATGAAAGGGAGCCTCGGTGGCCGAGTGGTCTAAGTAGTTACTACTGTAATCACTAGCCAGTCAACACTGAGGTTGTGAGTTCAAACCCCGCTCGTGCGGGTGCACTCGACTGCAATCTTAATTGACTAGGATTGTCAGTTTTCCTATCGAAGGTCGGTGGTTTTCTCCGGGCACTCCGGCTTCCTCCACCAATAAAAACTGGCCGCCACGAAATAGCCCAAAAGAGGTGCTTAAAAGTGGCGTTAAAACACCAAAAATCAAATCAAATCAGCTATGAAAGGTCCTATATGAAATAATTCAAACGAGAAAACTCAGCCTAATTTATAACAAATCAATTTACGAAAAACAAATATGACAGACATGAACCAACGACAACCACTGTACTACAGGCTCCTGACTTTGGACAGGCACATAAAGAATGTGGCTGGGTTAAACATCTTTGTGAGCATTCAACCCTCACCCTAACCTGGGACTGTTGTGTAAGAGCACAACATAAGAAAAAAAAGAATGGATGGGATACAAATAAAATGATTTGTTATGTCAGTAGTAAAGTATTGAGATATTGGAAATTATAGTGAGTTTTTGTAGCAGTTACAGTAGGCATATTCTTTTTTCAACATCCATGAAGCAATCTTTAATGGACAAAGTATGAAATGTTATAATCTGAAATTCCTTTTTGCCACCTTGCTATGCAGATCTGTTTTTGAAGATTTTGAAACTGCTTAGAAAAATAACAAAACCACTGAAACAAACTTTACACCATAAACATTCATATAATTAACATTTTTGCATGATGTCAGTTCTGTTTTAATTGTTGTAAGAGCTCTGTAAAAACTTCTTCTGGCTGAAATCTGGAGATGAAAGGACTTTTCCAGAATTATTTGTAAGGGGTGTCATATTGTTGTCTGGTTGATGTTTCATTGAAGTATAATTAAAATACTTTATAACAAAAACATTGGCGGCAGAGAAGAGCCAAGGAATATTTAATCTGATTAAAATACCACCATCTGACAAAACCAGCAGATCCCCAAAGCTCTTTAAAACAGAAACTAGAAAGGAATGTTTTCAGATCCTTGTAAGCAAACCTTGGATAGAGGGTCTGTATTTTAATCAGATTGAGAAGATTTCAAACTATTTCTTAATTCAAAGCTTGACATATTGTACTTACTCTTGTCAATAGTTGTAGACCATTTGTTGACCTCTTGTGGTCTTTTGGTTTTTTTGGCAATGTTTGGTTGCTTTCTCATTGTCAGACATAAACTCCATTTATCATACAATAAAGAAAAAATTCAGGAACAAAAACAAACTGATGTCACACAAAAGCTTTGATCATGGAATAATAAAGAATTTAATGATGACCAACATTATTTTATATTTAACATTAAACTTCTTAGTTCATGTACTGTAAATACAGAAATTGTTGCAAAGTTCTTGTTATTGCGAAAAATATACAACTGGATATGTTTTACAAATCTATAAAAAAAAACTCCCCATTATTTTGATGGTATTTCCTGAATTCTTAAGTTAATTTTACATGTTTGTCCATTGATCAACAACATCAACAATGGCAATAATAAATGCATACAAAAATTCATAAATTTACAGTATTATATGAATAACATACAAGATAGCTGTCTTGCAAATTATTCTGATGCCATTTTATATAAAGATCAAACCTTTCAAGATATAAACAACTTTTTCATTTCTTTGCATGTAAAATGATTTAAAGAGCATATACAGCCTAGCACATTTTTTTTAAAAGATGAATCTCAATTTGCTACAATAGATTTTGATATTAACTTTTTCAGCTCGAAAAATTAAAAAGATAAAAAAAAAGAAAAGAACTCCTTTGAAGAAAAGACTTGAAGACAATGTGGAGGATAAGGATGATGTTGATTTAGAACAAAAAGCGAAAAGTGAATATCCCGGACCAAGTTCTGCTATTGTAAAGACAAATCCAACAAAAAAGAAAACACCTGAAGTACCAAGGAACCGGTCACCAGTAGGTTCACCAGGCATGTCACCTGGTATGATATTACGTTTGTCATATCAGGAAACAGATGATGATGTTGATGTAGTTGAGGATGAAGATGTTAACACTTGTTTATCTCCCTTGCTGTCAGCTCAAAAAGAAAATCGTGCAAAAAATATACCAGCAGCAATAGGTAGTTGCGAACAAAAGAAAAAACGTCGGGGAAGGTCAAGACATAGGAAAAGGTCAAGGTCTTCCTCGAGTGAATATATCCCATTGTCATCTATAAGACATAGGCTGAGATCTTCTTCACGTGGACCTGCTCGACAAAGTAGGAGCAGGTCTCCTTCATTATCAGAGGAATCTCATGTTAGTGGAGATCTGTCCCACTCTCCTAGAGGAAAAAGATTTAGTCGAAGAAGGTTGAAAAATAGATCTCGATCATCATCGTCAGACTCATTGGTAAATTCAAGATTGAGATCAGCTTCTCGTAAAAGAAAGAGATCAAGATCGTCTTCATCCGAATCATTAGTTCATAAAAGGTTAAGATCTGCTTCTCGTGGGAGAACGCGTGAAAAAAGGTCATCTTCGTCACTCGAATCACCAGGATTTTCCAGAACTAGATCAGTTTCACGGAAACGTAAGATAATTGAATCTCCATCAAAAACTACCAGTTCAAAACAAAATTCAAAGAAGACATTAGCTTATGATGAAGTTGATGGAGAAAGTTTGCCAGTCAGGCCGTCATCTGAGAGCAAGAAAAGGAGGAAAAGTATAAATCACCCTTTTTCTGCACACGGATACAAAAATAAAAAGAAGAGAAGACCAAAGGTTAAAAGAATGCTAATTAGTATGGAACCACAACTGTCTTATCTGTCACCAGTCGCCCAGTATCAGTATGGTCCACAGGTAATCACTGGTAGTAGTGAAGATTCTGATAATCCTGTTAAAGAATTCACTCCGAAAATATCTCGATCAGAGTGTGGACCTTCAGACAATCCTGTGAAAGTGTCCTCCCCAAAAAAGTCGACAGCTAAACCTGGTGGAAAGGAAATGGCTAATACTTTTGAACTTTCTTCATCTAGCTCAAAAATAGGGTCAAAACAAGAGAAACGGACTTATGGTGTAGAACTGTCTTCCACTAAATCGCAGATTAAGTCGAGGGGAAAAGATTCAGAAAATATCAGTGAGAATTTCAAAGAAGGAAAACTCTTTTCAACAAATGGTAAAATTCAAAAAGTGAATGGTCAGTTGTTGATGGGGTCTAAAAAAGAATCAATGAGTCCTCAGAAAGGGAGCAACAAGTTTAATATGAGCAAATCTCCAAAAAGTGGTAAACAAATAAAAAAAACTTACAAAAAGAGAAACAAGATAGATTCTAAACAAATGTTGATTAATCAGTGGCTGAAAAGCAGCAAAGAATGTAGAATAGATGATAAGGAAAATAATCACAACAAATTCCTAACTATCAAATGGCAAGGGAATAAGTATATACTCATGAAAACACATGAACAAAATGGCAACTGTTTGTCAACAATTTCTCCCTATATCTGTAAAAGTCGACAGCCAAGTCCCAATGCAAGAGCTTCACAGCTGAGGGAAGATAGGCAGCAAAGTCCCAATACTAGAGCATCAAAAGTTAAAGAAGACATACTACAAAATACAAATATAGGAGGTTCAAAGTTGAGAGATGGTATTCAGCAAAGTCCAACTACCAGATCTTCACAATTAAGGTCAGGAAGTCCAATTACAAGAGCATCTAAGAGTCCACAGCCGAGTCCATTAATTAAACAAACTCCCAGGTCGCTACTGACTGAAGACATCTTACAAAAAATATCAGAAAAGAGATCTAGCTTGATTAAAACTTATCCACTTAGATATTCAAATAAGCCTGAAAACGGCAATGTCAGGTGTTCGCTGTCATCAAAATTTGTGGATGGTGAAACAGCGAATGATTCTTTCCCTGTACTACATTCTATTCTGAATGACCAAGTCACATTGAAAAGTTCTCCAAAAGAGAGTAGAGTAACTCCGTCTAAGATGAACAGTCCTGTAAGTCATCCTGTCGTGGAGGAATTGAACAGTTCGGGAAGTAGTGACACTTTAAGTTACATGGATGAGGACTTTCTTACATCTGATGATTCGGACAATAAGGAGCCATCTGAAATCGAGACTAAGTATGTAATCAAGAGATATGACAATGTCAATGGCCTGGAACAAGTTCAGGTTGTACTGCCAAGCAGTTGATGACAATATATTCATATATATATCACACACATTGTGGCAGCTTTTATGTATAGCATAAACTGTGCGTTTACAATTTACTATATTGCTTATCTATGGACAAAATAGGTCTGAAATTAGACAGTTGCCAGTTTTGACTATTGATATCACTTAGGCACTTTCACTGAAAGAGATATAAAAGTGCTATCATATAACCTTTTATGAAGATTATTCCAGGGACATTTGTTGTGAACAAGGAAGTAATATCTTTTTAGTGTAGCTTTATAAAAAAGTTAATAAATCACTAGTATGTGACTGTATTAAAGCCCCATTTATTATGGACTCCTACTTAAAAAAAACATACTTTATTTTAAGGTATTTCCATGATGGGTTTTGTTCACAGTTTGTTTCTTAGATGGGCCAGTTAAATCTAAATTGTGTTTATTGTTTGTGATTCACTGCCTTGTAAGATGCAATTTTATTGACAGGGTAAATTTAGTGGTAAATTGCCTTCTGTGAAAAATACGACACACAGAAAAATTTCCTGATATACGGTAGTAGTAGGTGTAATACAGAGATTCTCCGTCTTGTTATGTGAATTGACAGCCAAAATGTCTTGAGAATAAATTTAAGATTTCACACTAAAAGAAATTTAATGAATTGGGTTTGTGCAAAGATTTCATACAGGTATATATAAATGATTTGAAAAGTTTTTTCCTCTGAAATATGTAGTACAATGTACAAGTAAAATCTTCTTTAACATTTCAATGCTTCTATTTTAAAAATTTTATTTCATTTTGATGTAAAGGCACTTTCAACACTTTTTACAACCCTATAAAATTACAAAATAAAGCAATTGATTCTCATAATTGCATTTTTATTCTACAAACATGAAATTACTAGCATTGACTAGTTAAAACAAGCCTATCAATTTGTGTTTCGATGCGTTGTTTTGATGAGAGCACCTGCAGTCATAGATGTTTCATTTTATACGGAAATAGAATATAACTTTTTGAATGCCTCTCCCAATCATAATTAGCCATTGGAAATTGTATGAAACACCATGTAATTTTATTATATCATCAACCATACATGTGTAAAATCAACTTTGCAAAACTGTCCTGTAATTTGAATTTAACAAGCAAAAAAAAATTAAGGCATTGAAACAAATATTGCTCAAGTGAAACAGTCACTGACAGTTTGATTAGGCTGATTTTACCTTACATTTGGACCTGAGTACTGCAATTTTGGTCTCAAATTCTGAAGTTTTTATAAATAGTACTTAATGAAATTCAGAAGAGTTTTAATACCACATTGGTTGAATTGGAAAAATTAGATAAAACCATTATGGTTTATGCTGTAAATCTATCACCCCAACACTCAGTCTGTGCAGGATGTATTTATACAAAGCAATGTCTGGTAGCAATGGGACGTTAAATCCAATGACTCTCGCTGGTAGAGTGCCACTCTTTCTGCACATTAAAGACCGGACTTGTGAAAACTCTGAAGAGTGTGTAGACCACATATTGCCAGGCAAAATTACTGCCCCATCCCAACATACTGTAAATTCAGAAATTATTGCGTGCATTTATTATTGCGGTTCTGAATAACAGGCCATTCATTAGGAGGCGGTACCCGGTACTTTTACCCTCCTATGCTACTGATAAGTACCGCCTGAATTTTTATATAAGATGTTCATTGAATATATTGAAAAGTACCACCTTCAAATAGGAATGTACCGGTCAACATGAAAGATAATGAAACCCCTGTGAATAATGGACAAATATGCGAGATTAATTATTGCGATTTCAGGAAAATCTGCACACAGATATATGTATAAGATATCAGAATGCGAATTCTTAATATTGCAATACTCACCTAGTTGCAATATTCGCATTAATAAAAACTTTGAAATAATTGCTGAATTTACAATACTCTCTTTTCTAGTGAGGTTTGCAAAATTCTCACCCTTTATCTCAGTTGACCCACTTTGCTGAACCTGTCTTCTAGGTTATATAATTAACTCTTCCCTGAGTAAACATTTAAGATTTGCCACTGGACATTAAGCAAAGAAAAATCAAACAAAATGTAGTCAATAGGTCATTATTTTTACTAATACACTTATTATGAGTATGTATTATATGAAGAAGACCATTTAAAAAATATATCACCCTTTCATTAAATCTGAACTTTTTTCAAAAGCCAGCGTTAAGTATTTGTATGATATATACTTTAATTGATGTTATTTTTGGCATATCCCCACCTTGCACCATATTTAATTTTGTCTCTCTTTGACCTTGCACCTGTTTACAAAGATGTTTGGCTGATTAGTAACATTTTGAATTGAAACTTCATAAACTTTTTGTCAGTATACATTGAATATGTATAGAGGGTGGTCTTACTTATTTGGTTAACTAGAATACGACTGCTCGCTTGGTGTTGACTTAAATTAAACAGGTCCATTGAAAGGTGTTTTTGATTAATTCCTTCACAATGAAATCTGTTTTGTATTTAGTTATGTGTTTATAACTATGTCTTGCCTCATATGTGTTCAGCTAAGAGTAACTAGAAGTACAAGTACCTTTTGTTCTTTTAAGATCTTGTAACAACATGTGTTCAACATGTCAAGAGGTCAGATAGGTATTTAAATGTCTAATGAATAATTTTCTCTGCAATTTCATAAAATTTGTGTACGATAAGAAAGAAAATCAAAAACACATTCAATGTAATTGATTTTTTGTGAATCGGTGAATAGGAGCAATAATTGTATTTTAAATTGTCTAAAGAATTCTACCAGACAGTGTGTGACAAAATTTTCAACAAATCCTAGATTAAAAAAATGTTTGTCCAACACTTTGCTACCATGAATGCATACTGTGATTTAAGGCCACCATTGAAAAATTCTTTGTTTGATGTTGCCTATCTATGCCTTATAGGGTTGGGTAGGTAGGGATTTCATTTTTTTGGCCAACAACATTTGTTACATGTTTAAGACAAGAAAACGACGTTAGAGCAGGAAAAAATATTAAAAAAAAAATTGAACAAATTTGTGTCATAAAATTTTTGGGTAGGCTGCTGTATGTAGGTAGGCATCATCAAACAATCTAAGTTTAATTTTGGCCTAACATAAATGTGTTCTTTAATGGTGCTTTATACAGTATAACATAGTGTGTTTTCATCTTGTTTGTGTGTGCTTATTTTGTACACAGAAATATTTGCATTATTTGTCAAATATTGACTGATTTTTGCTATGCATTTATGCATGAATGCTTTTAATTGAGTGCAAGTTAAGATTATTTTATCACAAAAGACTAACATTTCTGTTTGCTATGCAAAAAAATGTAGATATTTTATATTATCATGATTATAGAGAAGAATCTTCCAAGACCTACAGAGAACTTGGGGAAAAAAAGTTTTTTGCATTAAGACTTGGTCTGCATAAAATATCTTTAAAGAGTTTACTATTTGTATTAAGTTTTCATTGTTAAATGTTGCTTGCAAAAGGAAAAGACAGATTATTGTGTATATATTAAATTGTTTAACCAAACTATCAAATTAGTAACTTAGTTTTAAAATATTGTTTGGGCATTACTCCTTCATATATCCATGTCAATATTTATAACTTGTCATGCCCTATAAAAGCCTAAAGGTCATGCGAGATATTGCTATCACTTGGTGCTCTTTGTTCATTGTTGGTAATCTTTTTCACATTTCCATTCTTTTCTCTTGAATCCCCTTTCAGATTTTTATCTGAGTTGACAGTCATAATGAAATGGAGGTATTCTCTAAAAATTCTAGTTGAATAAAAAATGGCTGCCATGGGCAATATTTGATTCTAATTATAAATGATCTTCTTTTAATGTTTACTGGGTTACAAACATGGGGAGGGGAGGGGGGCTTTGAACTTTTATTTGAAATAAATCAATAAAAACATGATGCTGCCTGTGACAATCTCGACTGAAATCTATTCTTGAATCTTCTTTTAATGTTTTGAATCTAAGTGATTGATGAAAACAAAGCCGTTAGATGTTTTATATACCAAAAGTTATCTTCTCTTGAGGAATTAAGGGGTTGTGAGTGATTAAGGCTGCTCTAAGCCTCTATTTATAGAATTTTATAGCATTATATTGCAGTAGGCGGCTTCATTTGATTATTGCTTACTTTAGTTATATGCTTACAATGTAACTTTTTGAATCCTGTTTGTAATAAAATTTATTGAATTATGAAAATATGAATTTTTGTAATAAGAGGAATGTAAGATATATATATATATAGATGAAATCTCTAAATAGCATAATTTATTATACCACAATTAACATTATTTGAAAGGAAAGATTGCTCTGCTCTGCCTTATACACATAGTAGTAATTGCTAGTTTGAATGTCCCTTTGGTATCTTTCACTTAAATTCTAATTCGTAAACTCAAACGAACATAAAATATTTATCAAATAACCACAAACTCTTACATGGGAGACGCCACTTGCAGAGACAAGCGCACATTTTATTATAAATATGAGTATAATATTGTGGAAAGTTCATATAAATACACAGGTAATAAGCAGCTTGTACATGTACTGGTTTCCCCATATTAGTGGTCTACAAATCTGAAAATAATAATATAATATAATTAATAATATTATTTATTTGGCAAAATGCTACTGTACACTTTGACTGCAATGGCTCGAATCACTTTAAACCACCTGAGTTCACTCGTGCATGAACTCAATATCCCAATCGAACTGACCTTACTATAATTAACCAAACACTAGTCAACTATAAACAAACAACGTTTTTACATGTTCGATTTTTGTACAACTTTGATAAATACATCTCTCTTCTAGAAGTCACCTTAGTAAAGATTGTTTAGTATGCAAAAAATGTCTTGCAAATGGTAGATTCAGTTTCAGTTTCAGCAAACTAATATTTTAAGACTTGGGTTTTGGAAATCAGTAGATTGCAAAGGTGAACCAGCTTAATTCAGTTTATTTTGCCCCATTAGATTTCTGTTACACATGAACTATTTTGAATTAGGTTTTAAACGACATAGAGGAAATTGGTGTACACATGTTTGGTTTATGTAATAAATAAAATCATCATAGATACCAGAATTAAAGTTTTGTAAATAAATTTGAACATTATTTTCAACAGCTTATAGTTTTAAATAGCTTGTGTTATAGTAGAATAGAATAACTGAAGAATAATTGTTAAAATGAAGGATGGTCTTTCCTATAGAAGTCTGTGTATAGTTTATATAAAAATATGTTGCAATCTCAGCATATGAAGCTAAGTATCATGTATTTTTTCAAGTTTATAATTAAAAGATCTGCATGTCAATTTTTCTACAATTTTCTGACCTCAATCAGATTATCTAGTTCAGTGATATATTTCATAAATTAATGTTTGTATTCAAACTGTTTGTGAAATAAAAACGAAAAAAATCAAGAAAATATCTTTGTGTTTTGTTTTTCATTAAACAAGTCAATATATTGCCATGCTTCAGTAAGAGGCTTAGGTCATAGTCCAAGCACTTCAGTTCATTCCTTCACACTGATGATCCGTAAGTGATCTGGTGGTAGGGTCCTTTCTACAAGTACAGGAGGTAGTGGGTTCAATCCAAAAGTCAGGTCTGAAACTTGACTGAAAGACTTGAAATTTTGTATTTCATGCTTAAGGGATTTTAGAGGAAGAGCAGAGATTGGTTGGGCTGGAGTCAGAATTATGTGTCCGGGTAGGGTGACATGCCTTCTTGCAGAGCTTTACCCTGTGAACCAGCTCATTATGTTGGCCTAGTAAAAAGCAGGGTTCAAATTCATATCACATTTAAAATGTTCTCATCCTGAATATGCATTTAGTTTTCCACTATACATAAGACAATAAATATACTATAAGCAATAGGTCAACTGTATTTGGAATATGGAATGATTACATGTCTGATTGGCAGAGATCATCCAAACTTGACCTCATTTTCATGGTTCATTGAACAGTGTTTTCAGTTTTTGTCTCGATTTCACGGAGTCAAAAAGCGATACATAGGTATGCTGTTTCTAGCGTCGTCGGTGTCGTCAACAATGTATTAGTTTGTGATTAGGTCTAGTTTATGGTGAACCACTAGCAGTAGGTCATTGATATTTGGTATGCAGTTGTATAAGCATTCGCAAATCTCATTTCCATGGAGATTATTTGGCTCCCCCCCCTCAGTCATGGTCTATTGACTTTGAAACTTTTGCTTAGTTTACATGTATTAGTTTGTGATTAGGTCAGTTTATGGGGAACCAATAGTGGTAGGTCAATGAAATTTGGTATGCAGTTGTATAAACATTGACATATATTTAATTTCCATGGAGATTATTTGGCCCGCCCCCTCAGTTATGGTTTATTGACTTTGAAACTTTTGCTTCGTTTACATGTATTAGTTTGTGATTAGGTCAGTTTAAGATGAACCACTAATGTTAAGTCAATGATATTTGGTATGCAAATGTATTGGCATTTGCAAGTTTCATTTCCATGGAGATAATATAACCCCACACCCTCATTATGGTTCATTGACTTTGAAACTTTTACATAGTTTACAAGTTAATGTTTGTGTTTGTTTAAAGAGAACGACTTATGAGATTTCAGTGGTATTTGGTATACAGTTGTATTAGTATTGGCACATCTCATTTCCATGGAGATTGTTTAGCCCTGTACCTTCAGTCATGGTTCATTGACTTTGAATATTTGCATAACTTACATATAAATAAAGTATTGCTTTTTTAATTTCAACATTTGCATTATCAAAATAACAAATAGGCGAGACATATATCTGTGTTAACAGTTTATTCAGATATTTTAAGCAACAGGTTAACTAATATGATGTAAAGTAACTGTCGGTCAGCAGGGTTCATCTGACCTTCACCTTAATTACATGGATTGTTTAATTATTATGTTCAGAATTGTGATACTTTAGTTAACCTTTTCAAGACTTTAAACATATATTCAATCATGATCATTTAAGCAGGACAAACATTTCAGCATTTGCACTCTTTGTTTTAAAATATCTGTTAAACTATTTGAAATATACATGCAAATGCATATTTCCTTACTTGTTCATTGATGATATCAAAAGGGTGTTAATATTTGCTGCATATTGATAAAAAATGGATCAGACTCAAATGGCTAGGTTGCACAAAATGTTTCTTAAACAATGGAAAATGGTCTCTACTGTACATTTAAATGGGGAAATATCTTAAAACAACTCCATAATGGAAGGTGCACAACCTTAATAGGTTTGCCAAAATTCTGTGAATTTCCTTAATCTGGGTTAAAAACAAAAATTCAAATTGATGCCATCTTTTGAAAATTATGCTGAAAGTGGTGTTAAACACCAACAACCAATTCATATATTAGAGAGTGGGGGATATACTGCAATCAACGTCTCCATCTGTTTGTCCCACAACATGTTACCACTCTTCCGATCTATCAAACACCTACTTCCTGTATGCTTCAAACTTTGAATTTTTCAATTTTTCATTCATGCAAGATGTATGATGATGTTAAATTTCAGAAGATGCACTAGATATTTAACAAATCACCATCAGTGCAACATATGCCAGTTTTACATTTTCAAACTGTGTTATGTTTATATTAAACATGTTGTACACTTGAAGGAACCTCTCAACTAGTGGGTGAGAATTCAAGCAGGAGTAGGATTTCGATGAAAAACAAAACAAATTACCAATAACCAATTCCACCAAGTGTTAAAATAAAAGTTGTACACATTAGAATAAAACGAGACCTTTCAAAAAGCCCAACATCACGATTCAGATGAACGAAGCTGTGCCTTTCTGAGTAAATCATCTGTCACAGAGGCAGATTTATATGGGAGCCCAGCGCCCCTCTAAATGGTGCTACATGCAAAGTTAATGCTCAGGCTATTTACAAGTCCCACTCCTAAAGTTGCATTTTTGGTTATGTTTTCATTCATCAAAAACAAAATCAATGATGGTAGATATAGACAATATCCAAATATCTTACTAGTGTTAAATTGATAACCTTTAAAGATCGGGTAACTAAACTCTGATCTGTTCCCAAGTTATGTATAAAAATCAACAAATTGTTGCATACTAGTAAACATTTCCTTGTCCAAATATATCATCTTTTTTATTCAGAGAAAAAAAGAAACACTTCCCCAAAATAAATTTAAACTACTTCCATTTCATGAAAGCTGTATTTTTACCAATTCTGACAGCAAAATCTTACAGTAATCGCGAGGCATAGGAGCTATAATCTGATTTTAACAGGCAACTCGAACAATTTGTAGGTCCTTTAATGTGACAATTTGCCTGGCTATGCTGTTGCTCTCTGATCTAATTATGGTTCACCTGAAACAGTTGCATAAATTAAAACACGATCCGTACTGGTTACTGGAACTTTGGATGCACCAAACCAGGTACTTCATATCTGAGAAATAGGCAATATATGCCTTCGATTTTAGAATTCATTCATACATGTTTATCTCACCAGGCCTAAAAGGCTAATATAAGAGAATATGTTTTAAATATATATGGAAAAATGCTTGGAGTAAAAGGAATTGCATGAAATTAAACCAACTTTATACAAACCTTGAAACAAATTTAAAAACAGTAAATATCAGTGTGTTATTTCTAGAAGCCGTAGTGGTCATGCTAAAATAACACACGAGCATCTTTTAAAAAATAAAATTCAACCAGTATGTTTACCTTGCGATTGCAAGTATACAATTAAACATATTTTGATTGAATGTATAGACATTTCCGATATCCGGGGGAAAACATGAAATGATTGGATGATAAGTTACACTTTTAATTCAAACTCCATTCACTTGAATTTGTATCGAGGGGTCTTGCTTAATTTGGTGAACTAGAATACGACTGCCCACTTGGTGTTGACCCAAATGATACAGGTCCATTCAAAGGTGTGTTATTTCTCCACAATAAAATGCTGTCAGTGGTAGAATCTGTTATGTATTTAGTCAGCTGTTTGTTTATACCTATGTCTTGCCATATCTGTGTTCAGCTAAGAGTATCTAGGAGTACAGGTACCTTTATCTTTTCAGATCTTGTAACACGTGTTCAACATTTTCAGAGGTCATATAGTTATGTAAATTTGCCTAAAGAATAATTTTCTCTACAATTTTATAAAATTTGTGTACAATTATGTTCCCTCTGAAGTGAAAGAAAATCAAAAAGACATTCAATGTAATTTTTTTGTGAATCGATTCGGTGAATTGGAGCAATAATTTGATTTTATATTTTTTAATTTGTTAAAAGAATTCTACCAGACAGTGTGTGACAATATTTTACACAAATCCTTGCTTAAAAAAATGTTTGTCCAACACTTTGCTACCATGAATGCATAATGTGAATTAACATAAATGAATGTGTTCTTTAATGGTGATTTATACAGTATAATATAATGTGTTTTTATTTTGTTTGTGTGTGCTTATTTTGAAAACAGAAATATTGCATTATTTGTCAAATATTGATCGATTTTTGCTATGCATGTATGCATGAATGCTTTTGATTGAGTGCAAGTTAAGATTATTTTATCGCAAAAGACTTAAGATGAACCTTCCAAGAACCACAGAGAACTTAAAAAAAAGTTTTTTGATCAAAATCTTGAAACAAAACATAAAATATCTTTAAAAGAGTTACTATTTGTATTAAATTTTCATTGTTAAATGTTGCTTGCAAAAGGAAAAGACAGATTATTGTGTATATATAGCGGAAATAAGTGAAATTAGGCATTAAGCTTAAATCATAGGCAATATAAGCTAATGCCTAGGCAGTATTAAGTCTATTGCCTAAATGATGTTGGGTATTATTCTTAAATCCTGAAAAATGTGTCCAGGCATTAATCTTAATGCCTAAAATGTAAATGCAAGTAAATAAAAAGACATTTATTCAAAGTTAAAATACATTGGTACATTATAACATGATAAGAACTGAATTTTCAAATGTCAACTACCTGAAATAAAGTAACTAGTTCTGGACACTTTAGTTTTAACTCGGATATAACCAAAGCTGTAAATTCACGACCATTTTCACTTTGCAGTTTATGGGGTAGACCAAAAATTGTGAAAACATCCATTAAATCGAATGTCACCTCTGAAGCACATTTTGACTCGAGAGCTCTAAAGTTACAAACTGTTGTCAGATGATTTTATCGAAATTTATCGTTTCCATCTACTAAATACTAGATACTAAAATTTGAAGATCTGTAAAATTAATGTATATCAATATTTGGAATGTGATATAAACAAAACTTTACATTTAGAATATTTCACCGAATGTATATGGAAGACAAAGCAAAAATCCCAAAGTTCACTTATTGCCAGAAATGATGTTTGTCAATAGGTTGAATAATCAACATCAGATTTCAGGAAATAAGTTTAATG